ACATTTCGATGTGCTTTGAAAACCTTCCCCTCAACCAGAATACAGCAGTCACAGAATAAATCTTGCTTGCGCTGCTCATTTAGTTGCTGCAGGAGATGAAACTGATGGGAAGAAATCTCCATCCCAAAAAAAAGGGTAACAGGAAGCGTTGCTCTACAATAAAGAATAATTACAATCTTGACATGCGACATGTAAACCAGAGTTGCGGAACCCAATTCTAAAAGCAGCGGTCTTTTGGAAATACAGTATGCACTGAGACCATTCCTTCTTTTTCCGAAGGAACAGCCCACATCAGCACAGGGAGGAGAGGAGCGAGACCAGCACCACGACGGTCACATCCTCTGCACGGAGGGAGACCAAAACCGCGGCCAGCAGCCGCGGCAGCAAACTCGCCACGGGCACCGAAGCCGCCGGGCCGGGCTCCCGCGCCGTGACATTGGCGGAGGGCGCTGTCACTCACCCGCGCGGCCAGCCCGCATTGGTCCTTCAGCCATCGGGAGCCAGGGACGCCCGACGGCGCGAGACACGCCCGCCCAGCGACCAGGGGCAGCAGCGCCAGCGACTGGAGCCCGCAGTGCCGGCCGCCCTCCCCAGCGGCCGGGGCGCCAGTGCCCGACAGGAGCTGGGGGCAGCCGGCGGCCGCCAGCGGGCCAGGCGCCGTGGGGCTCAAGCCCGGCAGGGCCCTGTGGGCTGCCCGGGCGGCTGCAGCGCCGACACCCGCTCGCCCCGGCGGGGGTTCTCCTCAGGCTCAAGCCTCCCGCTTTGTGCGGCTCCCGCCGGGCCCCCGCCCCCCCCGAGACCTGCCGCCCGCGCCCGGCGTTGCCCGCGCCGCCTCGCTCGGCCCCGATCCCGGTCTGGCTGCCTGCGTGCGAACCCGTCTCCCCCTCCGCCTGCTCTCGCCCCGCACCCGCTTCCCGCCAGCCCTTTGTTGCCGTCCCCGGCCCCTCACAGCCGCGCCCGGGGCTGCAAATGGCGCCCGCTTCGGTCTCTCGGCAAACGCGGCTCTCGCGGGGCTGAAGCTCGGCTCCGGAGAGCGCCTGGGCCCGGGAGCGTCCGCCGAAGGGCCCCGGCCCGCTTCGTGTCAGAGCCCGCGGGAGCGGCTCGCCGCCCCCGGCCTTCGGCTGGCTCTGGGGCCGTTTCAGCCCCCGCACCCCAACGCCCAGGCCGGTCTGCCGGCGGGCTGCGCCGCCGCCACTTACCGGCTGGGTTCCGCGGGCGGCAGCCGCCGAGCCGGAGAGAGCAGGAGGCGGGATCCCCGAACCCGCGGGCCGGGCTCTGCGTGGCTTCAGTGCGAGTGGCGGGTCCCGCCGCCCCAAACCCTGGAAGCCCGAACGTGAGAGAAACAAAAGGTATTTGCTGACGTGGGCGTTGGACAGAGACGCCCGAGGGCTGGGGACACAATTAAAGGGGCAACGCTCCGATTGCAGGCACAACCCAGCAGCTTCCGCTGCCTGAGCTTCCCTTCCAGGGTGGCGCTTTCCTCTTCTCACACCCACAGCCCCACATGCTCCCCAGGAGGGAAACGTGATGCCCTAGATTCTTCCTTCTCACACCTTTGTGTACTATAGGGGTTTGGGTGCCCAAGCTCCATCTGCCACACACCCGCCTCTTCCCCTGAGGGAGTGTAATGCCCTGTCCTGCCTCACGCCCACTTGCCCCTCAAGGCACCAGAACGCCTCAAGATTGTTCTTAATCCCCTCAGGCTTTATGATTTAGGCCCTGATATCCCATTTCTTTCTCTTCCTGACATGCTCTTCAGTAGAGTTTTGAGGGCCTGTCCTTTCTCACCCCCTGCTTGGTCTACTTCACATCCTTCCCATACTCCAGACACTTCAAGAGAATCTGTGAGGCCCCACTCCTTACTTTTCGCTCTTAGCTGAGCCCCCAGGTTTGGTGGGATGCCCCAGTTCCTGCCATAATAAAAGTTTAATGTGATTTTGTACATGAGATGAAAGCACTAGCTGCCAGCAGAAGGGCCAGATTTTATATCATTTTGTTTGGCAAAGAAAAGATACAGAGACTGTACATATGTTAAATTTATTGGACATATCCGTGTAATCCTTGTATGCAAAATCATATATCTAGTTCTACAGAGCACATTCTTTCTGTATCTGTTTAAAAAAACACAACTTGCAGTTGCTAACTCAACCCTTAGGGGTACTGCTTTGTGAGTTCCTGTATGTATGTGTAAATGATGGGCAGCTGGTGACAAAAGGAGAAATAATTCTTTGTTTGTGGTAAAGTAAATTAACACAAAGTACTTAGATTAGTATCATCTTCACAAATTCCTCATACAAAACAACTCATATTTACTCAAATGGGGGGTTTTACGAGTGAAGACTGCAGAATATGGATGTGCCCTGTACGGTCAAAAATCATCTGCATAATCAATCTGCAAGTGCCAAAGAAATGATAGACCCAAGAAAACGTGCATCCGATGAAGTGAGCTGTAGCTCATGAAAGCTTATGCTCAAATAAATTGGTTAGTCTCTAAGGTGCCACAAGTACTCCTTTTCTTTTTGCAAATACAGACTAACACGGCTGCTACTCTGAAACTTGTCAAGAAAACAGTGGTACTGGAAGCTTTAACAGAACTACTGTTCTCCACAACTTCAGTTTCCTGGTTCTGTAGTGTGCCATCATAAATATTTGTATAATACAAATGAAGGAATACCAGATTAAATTAGGCTTGAATAAAGACTGGGAGTGGATGGGTCATTATACAAAGTAAAACTATTTCCCCATGTTTATTTTTCCCCCCTACTGTTCCTCACACTTTCTTGTCAACTGCTGGAAATGGCCCACCTTGATTATCACTACAAAAGGTTTTTTTTTTTCTCTCCTGCTGGTAATAGCACTCTCGTTATAGTGTGTATGGTAACACCCATTGTTTCATGTTCTCTGTGTATATAAAATCGTCCTACTGTATTTTCCACTGCATGCATCCTATGCAGTGGGCTGTAGCCCACGAAAGCTTATGCTCAAATACATTTGTTAGTCTCTAAGGTGCCACAAGTACTCCTGTTCTTTTTGCAGTTACAGACTAACACGGCTGCTACTCTGAAATCTGTATCCTGCAAGTTGTTCTGTGCATGTAGACCCCTTCCACCCATCAGGAGCCTCCTGATGTTTGTGGGGCTTTGTGCAGGCCTAGAGCAGTTTGTGGGATTGGGGCCTTGGACCATAAGTCTCAACTAAACTTGCAACAAAAGAACCATTGTATTATGCAGCAGAAACTAAGTAATGTCATAGAACAGGAAGAATAAGCTCTCTCTTTCCACAAAAACTGGGGCACCTTGTGATAGTGTTTAAAGGTTTCTCAACATGTTAAAGGTAGTGTAATACTTGAGAATCTTTCATTCCTATCCATTCAAAATTTTAAACCATTTTTATATGTGTCCTCAGATTTTTGTAGCATGTGAGTTCATTTTTCTACAGTTTAATTTAGTCTGTAAATTTAGGTAAGCAGTACTCCTCTTTCTAAATGATATCTTGATATTTTTTAAGAACATACGAACAGCCACACTGGGACAGGCCAATGGTTCACCTAGCCCAGTATCCTGTCTTCCAGCAGTGGCCAATGCCAAGTGCTTCAGAGAGAACAAACAGAACAGGTAATCATCAAGTGATCCATCCTCTGTCACCCATTCCTAGCATCTGGCTAGCAGAGGCTAGGGACACTTCAGAGCATGGTTTTGCATCCCTGCCCATCCTGGCTAATAGCTATTGGTGGACCTAACCTCCATGAACTTACCTAGTTCTTTTTTAAAACTATGCTAAAAATCATCATCATGTAGGGAAAACTTCCCTCTGAAACCAATTGTTTGTACACTCAATACTTTTCTATATTAGGTTTAATCTAGGTTGGAAATTAACAGCTGAATTTTCAAAGCCCTAGTACTTGGGCCCAGATCTGGAAAGATGCTGAACACCCAGAATTCACATCAACATCAATGGAGTTGGGGGCTCATCACTTATCAGGAACTGAACAGGGTGCATCTAAACCAGTAGATAAGCACATAGATATCTACATGTTGTTTTGGTTAAAATTTTCAAGAGTCACGTTGTGTCTAACTGTTCTGAAAATCCAATCACATAGTTGTGCACAGATAGCAAGGGTTGTGGGGATGAGGAACTAGTGCTTGTGTGCCTGACTGGAATATTCAGGAAGATTTTTGGGAATACTTTTGCTTTCTGCGCGCAAGGTTCCATTCTCCTTAAAGCATGACTACTTTTTCCATGGCACTAATCTGTCACACAGGACCCTGGTGATCAATCCACACTTTCACTCAACATTACAGAATAGATGTTAGCATCTGTACCCTTTGCATTCAGAGTCCCAGGGATTGTAGATTAAGACAACTTTCCTAGAGCTCTTATTTCAATCAGTAAACCTGCTAAGGGTTTCAGTAAACCTGCTAGGAATAGCCCACATTCTGAACTGTTGGGCTTCTTGCAGACAGGGAGATTTTTGTTCTTTGTACATAAATTTTCTGCAAAGGAGACCACGTAGGTATTAGTTTGTATAGTTGTTTTATTTAGTGCTAGGTCTCATATTTCTCCGATTTTGAGTTAGTGTTTTAGGCTAAGAAAGTTTCTCCTAGAGTTGGGAGTCAGAGAGGATTGATTGGTAGGAAGAGCTCTGCTGGGGGTGGAACTCCTTGCAACAATATGAGGAGTAGTAGCTCAGAGGCCAGACAGATAGTCTTATCTTGTAAACTAGCTCTAGAAAAAGGAGATTAAAATCTCCTTCTCTTCAGTTAGCTGCTAATATAAAAAATATTAGCATACATTTTACAAGGTGTGTCTTTCTTGGTTTCACTTAGGTATCATAAAAGTAGAATTAACACCAGAAAAAGTTAAAAGAGCTCTGCCTTATGTAAAGTATATTTGTCCTGAAAATCCAAGAACTCAAATACGGTATATTTTTTCTTTAAATGTTATGTAATATTTGTTAAATAAAAGTTCTGCAGCTAATATACAAACACAAATTGCTGTAATAAGGAAGACTAACAAACTCATTTATTTGAAAGATAAATTTGATGAATGAGTTGTAACAGATTTTTTCAAAATAAGAAAATAAAAGTACCATATGCTTATACTGAGATTCTTTCAAAATACAAAACATAAGAAAAGTTTAATGGATCCCTTGGCTACAGAGCAGTTTGAGTGACACAATTCCCTTGATCACTCTAGTTACAGTGTGTATGGTAACACCCATTGTTTCATGTTCTCTATGTATATAAATCTCCCCACTGTATTTTCCACTGAATGCATCCGATGAAGTGAGCTGTAGCTCATGAAAGCTTATGCTCAAATAAATTTGTGAGTAAGGTGCCACAAGTACTCCTTTTCTTTTTGCGAATACAGACTAATACGGCTGCTACTCTGAAACCTCTAATTCCCTTCCTGCTTCACAGTGGCAGAGTATTTTAATTCTCATTCTGTTTTGCTGGATGAAAAATGCATCCAATGAAAAAATATGAACAAGAGTAACTACGCTTAGAACTTGTGCAAAAATGATTGCTTTTTAAAGGGTGTAATGTTTCTTAAAGAGAGAGCAAGTATTGGTGAGAATTTAATCTTTTTTTCCTTCATTTAAAAGTCTTTAAGGAATATTTTAATAAAAAAGTTATTCATCCCTCTAGTAGTTCAAAGGTGAATTGTTCATTATTCTGTCTTGGAATTCTTTCCAATGTCACAGATCTTGGTGTCTTGAAGAATACAAAGCATGCAAATAAGATCGTATCACAGTCATAATGACAGAACTTTGCTTGTTAATCAGAGTCTGGGGATATGGGGATTCCTGGACAAGACACAAAAAATTAATGTAATGGTGAGATTTACTAATTCTCAATTAATTCACAACTAACTAATATTTGGCTTTACTTCCTTTTTCTCAGTCTCATCTTCACTATCATCAACTTCCTGGATGACTAAGCCAACAGAGTCCTCCTCCACAACTTCCTTAGTTCTGTGTTCTTCACCAAAGTGCCACCTAGAATCCTTGTCCTCTTCTGGTGAAAACCCAAGTGATTGTTCAGCCTCCAAGTCAATAGGAATGCTTTCTATGCCAGCTTCAACCAGACATTCATTACACAGTCTGTAGCGCCTTGTTCCTTCTTGCACCACTTGCCCTGTCATGTCAGTCACGTGGCGCTTACACTTTCTGCATATTGGCTTACAAGCCTGATGAATCTGAAAATTTAAATTTATAAAAAATATTATCCAATAGCAGCACAAAAATACAAGTTATTTTTCAGATTTTATATCTTAAATTTAACAATTCTGTGATGTAATAGAACCAGTTTCCTTTCAAAGGAGAGACAAACTACATCATGTACTTTAATAAATATGTTACATATTCAGGGAAGAATCTTTGAGAAGAATATCAATTGCACAGTATAATGAGTACTGTATCCGCATCTAAGTTGAGAAAGATATCTGCTGAACGTTCTAAATAGGATGTAGAGCTTCTGAAAAAAATGCTGGATTGTCAGCACTATTGATATAAGTCCTCTATTAATCCAAAAACAGGAGTGGCACAAATTTCCCAGCACTACTCATCTTGCCAATAGCTTGGTCTACACTAAGTAAATTAGGGCTCATAATTAGAGTCCTGCGTGGATATAAATTTATCCTTCCATGCAAATAAATTTGTATCCGCGACAGGCTCTACTGATAATTTGCCACTGGTGAGTTACACCAGTTGTAGCAACAACAGAAGCTATGGTGTAGAAGTGGGGTTAGGCAGATAGGAATTTCTATTGCTACGTCATCTAACTCTTCTGTAAGGTTAGACAATCCAGTAATAAAAGCTCTTGAGTCTGGCCTGGAGAGACTAACTCAGTTTCCACACTTACTAAGTCCTCAGTCTCTATGCTGGGACTTCCAACAAGATTTTCAATTAGTACAAATGTTGGTTTTGATTTTTTTGAACAGTACTGAGAAAATCAGTTAATTTCATCATAGATCACCACACAGCTTTGGAATGGTATGTCTCTTGGTCACTATCAAAATGAGATAGATGTGAACTAGTGTTGTTGAGATGAAAGGCTGTTACTAGGACCACATGATTCGGGTGGGAAAGAATGCAAAAATTACTGGAAAGAGATGGGAGCTAGTCAACAACATTCAGTGCTTTTTTTCCTCTGTGAAAACTAGGAATTAAATCTTGTTTTGGTTGGTAGTCTCATCATAATCCCTATAAAAAAAAAATGTCCACTTCACAAACAACTTCACAGTTGTGAATAATTAGTGGTCTTTCTTCAAAAGAGACAGAGAACTGTAATAACAGGATTTTGACACTGAGGTGTTTTGTCAGAATGATGCAGAGAAGTTTAAAAGGAGTTTGCCCACAAACGGGGTCATTTCAGGGACATAACATTTTGCAAGAGGGAGAAAGATAAACATTGGGAAACCTTTTAAAATACCAGACTGGAACAGGAAAACATTCTATCATTTAATTTGAGCATTAGTTATTCAATATATTCTTTTTCAGTATTTGAATAACGTACAATAATTGACCATGGTATTCTGAAGACACAAGCACTATGCTCATCTTAATAATCAGAGTTCTTCAAATCCAAGCAATAATCACAACACAATAGTTTATTTAGAAATGTTTAGAAGCAAATAGTCTAAAGTTCACCCTATTGATTATTTACAGAAGTGACTGGCAGGTTTATGCTACAAACATTTTTAAAAAATCTCTTATATGTTAAAAAATATACATACTGTTCGAAAATGGCTACGCAGATGCTCTAGCCTGGTGAATCTTTTCCCACATGCCTCACATGGATAGGGTCGCTCCCCTGTATGACAACGAAGGTGACGCTTTAGGTCTGCTTTCCGCTTCACCATATGGGTACAAAATGGGCACTTGAACCTCACATCATCTGTTACAAAACAGTCCTGTTAATTTCTAAAAGTTTCATGCTCTTTTTAGTAGTGGGAGAAAAGCAATAACTAAAGTTCCAAACCCAAATGAAGTGTATCAGACTTACCACATTTATCAGATTTTCTGATGTATAAATGATATTTTGACTATGAACAGCAGGAGGAAAACAACTTTTTTTAAAACTGAAATAATTGCAGATCTTTCCAATCAACACTGAATTTCTAACAATTACCCACAGCATGAAAGAATCACAGCCTTACTTGCATACCTTTAGATAATATATTTTATAAAAACCCTCATTAACTAGTCACATACCAATCTGAGATATTTTCACACAGTGTTTTACCAGCATATTTGTACACAGAAAGTCTTTTTCTAGACAGCCTTACTCCCTACTGTATTGTGTACAGTAGTGTTGACACAATCCAAGGTTTTTGACATTGGATTTTGTTACTATAGAAGCAATTGTCATATAATGAACACTAGATAGTGACAACAGTAAATGAATCAAGCAAACAGAATAAAATAGATAAAAAATAGCTTCTGTTCACACAGAAAAGTCTTGGAGATTGTAAGTGATAGAAAAAGAAATCCAGTAAGATGATGACAGTTTTTGTCTTCTCTGAAATACTTAAATCATGAAACTCTGTCTCTCAATTCTCAGTATAAGACTTCCCTGCTGCCATCCATTCCTTATTTCACCTCAAGATGTACCTAATGGCAACCTTCTGTAGCCAAGTGTAGCATCATGGTGGGCCACTAAGGGCAAGCTTCACCAGAACATTTGTTGCAGGGCTTCAATTCCTTTGATAGTATGGAGACATGTGACTAGGAGGACAGCAAGGCCTTTTGACAGAAGAGTCTGAAAGAGATCTGGATGGGGGATCAGGGAGTTTCTTCACTGGCAGACTGGAAGAGGAATGGCTATTAAGCCTCAACTGCCAAGGGACTGGGGAGAGAGCCTGAGTGGGGCAGGGACTGCTTAGAAATACTGTGGACCCCCGCAGCCAAGAAAGACTGAAATAACTTTTAATAGACCCTGGCAGAAAGGCTGTCGAGAACCTGGTTAAAATGGAATAACTACTCACAGACCTCAGTGGGAGGGCTGTAGAAGTCAGAGGATGAGGTATGGATAGGAAAGACTTTCCAGTGCAAATACTGGAATTCAACTGGTATATTAATAAACCAGACCACAGAAGGGAGATTTTGTTTTGAAATTCTATTTGCGTAGTTATCCCGGAGGCACAGAAGAGAGGAAACTGAGGCACTGCCATGCATCTGATGCAGGTCTGACTAAGATGACCCTGTAACACTAACTAAGGCAGAAGGAATTTTCTGGAGTCAGACACTACTGTATCAATCATGAGGGTAACCCCGAGGCTGAACATGCTGCTTCTGCAATGCTGCCAGTCCCTACCAGCTCAAGGAGATGAAGTGACAAATCTTGCTTTAGTAGTCAGTCTGTATACCAAAGAAGGATGAGAGAATAAATGAACAGGAAAGGACTATTATTATCCTTTTGATTTTTTTTAAAAGAACTGTGGACTGTTCATGGAAAACTTTGAAAAATGTACTTACCTTCCTGCTAGCAGGTGAGACAGAGAAGGAACTGGTCAATTCCTGTCCTATTTGAGAAGTTCTATACAGCTTGTTCTCTGTCTTACCAGATGAGTAATTCAAACTACAGCATTGCCAGGCATATTCAATAACACATATATTTCCCTTTTTTTTTTTTTTTTGTGGGCAACAGTGAAATGGCTGCTAACTTTGCATTACAAAAAAACATAAACCCATTTTATTCTGCAGCCAAGTTAGTTTTAGTTTTGTACCACTTTCCTGAGTTTGCCCGTCAAATCAGAGACAGTTTGCTAGTGTCATTCTCTCTGGAGCTCTGTCTACTGTGAAAGTTCAGTACACCGCACATATGCACAAATTGCTTTACTGAGGAAGGGTGGCATGACATTGTCACCCTTATTTCTCTGTTGCTGCTGGCAGTGGTACTGCTTTCAGAGTTGGGCAGCAGCTTGCCACCCTTACTTCTGCGATGCCGCTGGTGGCAGTGTTGCGTTCGGAGCTGGGTGCCCCACCAGCAGCTCCTGCTCTCTGGTCACCCAGCTCTGAAGGCAGAGCAACTTCTCATGCCCCTCCAGAATACCTTCCTTGTCCCCCCGCACCCCCAGGGGGGCACGCCCTGCAGTTTGAAAACTTTGGATTTAGAATATATCAGTCATAAGAACAGCCTGATGCATATTTGCAACAGAAGAGTATGACTGAACCCTTTCTCACTGCAAAGGATTTGGTCAATTTCTAGGAGGCAGTGTCTAGTAAAAGAGGTCACATACACAGGGGAATGAAGTGCCAAAGAAGACATCGAGATCTTATTAAATATAGTGTTTTTTTAAATTTTGGAAGTATATAGAAGGTCTACCTGGAGTTGTATGTCCACACCCTTAATTTCTTATCAAAGGAAAATTCAAGCTACATAATAGGAAAAAATCCTGAAAATATATAAAGACAAAGGAATGACTTATGCAAGGAGTCATCAAGACATCATTATATATAATCTTTTCAAATGTATTAATTACCTGACAAATGAACTCTATAAGTTGGGCATAGGTTGTTGCATAGGTTTTCCTAGGCATAGGTTTTCCTTTTTGAAAGCAGCAAAAGCTATAAAAACCTAGGACTAGACAAGTTTTAGCACCTGAAAGTTAGATATGGTATTACAAACTCTAACCAAAGGTACAGTAGTTTGATCTCCTTATTAAGACTGCCTTTCCTGTAATGATGTGCTCAGTTAGTTGTAGAACAGAACTTTATGCCTTTAAAGTAGCAACTCCAACCTATACAGGTTCTTATATCGCACACATCACTGTGGTGTATGTGCCTTCTGGTAGCGCATTAAGTGATGTGACTAGCATCTATCACGTATGGTTCTTTCATTCTCCCTTTTTCTCCCTAAAGGGAAATTTGTGTGGATTTAATATATATATATAGTATACTTTATAATTTAAAAAAATTGATTACATTTATTTTTATTATTGAATCCAAGGTCAGTGAAGTGCACCAGTCATCCACTGAGATATGACAATGTAGATTGGAGGATCAGTCCACCCTTAATTGCTAAAACTGGATGATTTGTCAAAAACAAATTATTAATTTTCCTCAAATTCAAACAATTAGCAGGAAATCTTGTCTAATTAAGAAGTCAAAAAGAGCCTATAAAACTCTAAATAGTAAAGAATCACAACAGGGTTTTGCACTATCTGGTACAGTTGTTTTTCTGCTTGTAAGGGTCATATAATAACATATTTGTACATGCATTGATAACAATTGAAAGGTGCTTTTTCCCCATGGCAACTATACATTTGCAGAATCCTGTTAAGAAATTAAGGTCAACAACATGAAATATTCTTTCCTGAAGGAGTGCTATGTATTTTTTCAGCTATCTTTACAGCATACCTGAGAGAACCTACAAGTTTGAAGACTCTCTTTAAACTAATTAGTGGCCAGTTTACATTCTGCTCTAGTCAAAGACACATATCAGCTACATTTAACACAATGCACTCTCTCACTCATTGTTATCAACTAGATGTTTAGTCTTCTGATAGGATCATCTTTCTGTTAGAAGCTGTTCCATGTAGTAGTCCATCAATTTACAATTCCTCTGTAGACGTTGGTATTAGCACTCAGTGGCATTGGAACAATTTTAGTAATAGGTGTGCTGAAAGCCATTGAACAAAATTGTAAACCCTATATATGTCTGAAACCACTTCAAGCGATGAGGGTGCTACTGCACCCCCAGCACCCCTAGTTCCAGCACCCCATTAGCACTGCTAACTAATCATGGCATTCAGTATTGGTAAAGGTCTGTTGCATCTGTCCTTAGAAGTAACAATGCAGGACAATTGTTATTAAAATAATCCTTTCTATAGGGAACTTATTTTTAAAGTTTTCAGTGAGGCAACAGCACTTCCTTAAAAGGGAATCCAAGATAGAAAGTTAATAATGTCTTTCTAGAATGAGAAACTGACTGGCCGCTGCTACTGTAAGAATTATCACATGATGATTCATAGCAATTTTTAAAATGAGCCTGACACAATTTATAAATTAATATGGACAAATAAATAAAAATCTGTTCATAGCAACAATATAAAAGGCAACTTTAGTTATTTTATTGGGAGCCTCATTTATCAGGAATTCAAAGCCATTACAATGATTTATCAATATGGGAATGTCTGAATAATTTGCAATCTGAAAATATAACCATGGAGTTACTATCGGGCATTAGTTAAAAAGGTGATTCTAGATTTCACTGTAGTGCATAACTGTAACTAATTTTTCAGTTTCTAGAGCTGATCATTTTTATTGAGTTAAATGTTCAATCAATTTCTGGACCAAAAATTCAGCAGAAAAAAACATTTAAGAACCCCTAATAGTGAAGGAATAAATGTTTAGTTCACTCTTACCTTCAATCCAACTCCCCATAACACCTAAAATTGTGGGCATACTTGCATACAGCTCATCTGCTTTTGATGATTTAGACTTGTTGGCTGATCTAGATGATTCATACTCCTGCTGGGTCTCTAGCAAGCTCCTTGGCAACACCTCTGACCCCAGACCATGTTGATACCCAGCATCCGCAAAGTCAACTTCTGTATCAAGCTGAGTTTGCTCTTCAGATTGAGAAATGTGGTTAGTAGGCTCTGAAGCTCTATCTCCAAGTTTCCTTGATTTACCAGGGGGGACGTCAGTGGACTGTGGCAATCCAAGCTGCCTCATACGTTTTTTTATGGAATGCCGTCTTTGAGTCTGTTTGATCAAGTTAGATCGTTGGGTGTTCCTTTGTGAAGCGGAGTAGTAGGTGCAATTACTCCAGGAATTTCCACCCACCATAGATACCCCTACGTCAGAGTCCATTTGAGAATGTGTGGGACTGCTTTCTACTCTCCATTCTGTGCTATATAAGCCTGGACTCTCAGTTCCATTACTGTTCAGATCTTTTTCTGAAAGACTGAAGTAGCGATCCTTCTCCTTCTCACTGATGTCTAGTGAAGATTTAATGAAAGTCTTACAAACACTAATGATATCTGTCATCTGTAGGTAGCTGGCAGCTGACATGACCTCAATCACATTTTGACCAGTAAGAGATAACTTGCCTGAATACACAAAGTCCAGAATGACCATAAAAGTATCAGGGGAGAACATATGAAAGGTGGCAGTTGTTGGCTGACTCATGTCTTTTGAGCTCTGAGAAAGGAGCATTTTGAAATAACCGCTACTGGCGAACAGCACATTTCGATGTGCTTTGAAGACCTTCCCCTCCACCAGGATACTGCAGTCACAGAATAAGTCCTGCCTGCGCTGCTCATTCAGTTGCTGTAGGAGGCGAGATGGACGAGAAGAAATCTCCATTCCAAAGAAGGGCAAACAAGCACTACTCTAAGAAAAATTGAAAATTATGTTTATAAAATGTGCAACGTAAAAGAAGTAATCTGATTGGCAGAGCAAAGATTTTACCTCTGTGGGTATTCCAGTGGCCATTCCACCTCCCGATGTGATCTTGACAGATTTCACAAACTAAGCAGGATTGGGTTTTGTCAGTACTTGGTTAAGAAACTGGGGGAAATCCAGGTACTGCCACAAGTGATGTTGTCATTTCAGTAAGTGGTAATCTTTTTTCAAAACCAATAATGAAACAACGAACTAGCATGATGCTATGGGACTCTCGGTGGAAGGTGTTGCCTTTCAGAGGAGAACCTGACCATTTGTGATCACTAATATTCCTTTTTTTGTAGGAGTTAAATGGTCCTAGCCTGTACAGTCATGTCACATTCCCACTGGGATATTTACATTCCGCCTTCCTAAAGTCACCCTCCATTTTCAGTGGATAATTTTATTGCTCAATTCCTATTCTAAATTGTCATGCATTATTGATGTGTTTTGTAAAAAGCTGCTGTGTAACACTTACCAGTGGGTTAAGTTATTCCTGAATATATAAATTGGAAAGGTCTTATCGATTCCTGTGGGATGAATGGCGCTACACAAATGTAACTTTTAATACACAAATAGTAATTTCTCAACGTTGTTGCCTAAGAAGTGACCAAAAAAAATCTAGTTGAGTAATGTTTTTTAGAAGTGTCCAAAGTGAAGAGTCTTTTATAAAGGGTGGGTGGTGTTGGAACATAAAACTGTCAGCATTTAGCCACTGAAATAACACTGTTATTTTGAAATAGAATATTTTAAAAGCGCTATCCCATTTTTGGTATTCTAATATCAATTTATATTAAAAGAAAATATAAGCAGCAGTCTACTATGTCCTTACCACCAGAATTTTCTCTCCACTACCCAGTCCCTCAAGAGCTCATGTCAGAGCTACCTTCTTTGGCAAAAAGGGCTGAATATAGGACTGGCTTAGTATCTTTCAACGATGCTCCTTACTCAGTTACACAAAGATCACTGCAGAGCAATGAAAGGTGCTCTCTCACCAGGAGCTGGCAAACTCTGCAGTCCTACCAGTTCATAAAGCAAGATATAGGTGCTGTAAATCCAACACATGTATTAAATGGTCAACTACAGGATTACTCTGATTGCCCCACACCAATATTTTTAGTGAACAGATATGAAATTATCCCTTAAAAATACAAAAGCCAGAAGAGACCCTATGATGGAATAGTACAGTTTGGGGGTACTATATATATTTGTAGGTTCCACAGCATGCAGGGAATAAAATTTGAATGACTGGAAGTTTCATGAAGTAGTGTTTGAAAAAAATCTAGAATTTATTGCTCTTAAAAATAGAGTGAAATTCTATGAATGACAGTCATCACAAACTATCATCAAAACTAAGTGATACAAGACAGACTATGAACATGATCTTCACAGTTCAGAAATGTATTTTGAATATCACAATGCATGTTCGGAAGACATCAATGATCAGGAAATTAAATCAGTATGCCAGATTAGTTTTAGTGTACATGCACTATCTCCTATTCCCCCCCTCTACCCCCCACTGGATAAAGTAGTGTGCTCTCCACATCTCTGACAGAGTCTAAATGGTCCTTTTTCTTTCCACAGTGCCCTTCTCTACTAATCCAGAGAGTCAGACCAGAAAAGATTAATCTGCATCTCCAGCATGGCAGTACAGAGAACTGGGATGATCATCTAGTGAGTGACTAGACTATATAGTACTATATATTATATGGGATGCTGGTGATGTGAATGGTTCTTCTTCAGCACCTACAGGTATTCTCCTGACTACTGTACTCTTCTCTCAATGAGGCATGCAAAAGAGAAAGTATAGATTTTTTACTTCCATGTAACTGTGTTAAACGGAAGCTAAGTGAAGAATACTCTCCATAACATTTCTATTTTAAATCTAAAGAGACATAAAAAGCAGATATTCATGGTTAAAGTTTAAAATAATTTTATTTTTGAACAGTCATATTAAATCAAGAAAAATATTTTACTCTTACTATTATATAGAAGTGAGCACAAACAAAAAAGAAAACCAATAAGAATATCTGGAAGACTTAAGAACCTAAGGTGACAATGATTTTTAATCAAGTCACAAAAGGAAAATAAGCAACCCCCTACTCACCCCCACACAACAGGAAGATGAACTACTGTTACAGCAGAATGAATATCAATGCATGGCAGGTGCAACATGGATTCCTTACCTGAAGATGGAGAAACATAATGCTAGCTTTTGCTAAACATGTGTGGTGATGTTCACTGGTGGCTGGAAACAGAAATCTTTGGCAAAAAAATGATGAGGTCTTTGTCCTGAAGTGGATATAATACTGCACTGATGATGCTATAACCTCTTTATCCTTAGGCTACTGCTTGAACTAAAACCTTGGATTTGTCCAGATGTCAGTAATATTTGTATCAGACGCCTTAAAAACGAATTTCAAATCAGAAGAGGCTAGATGGCATGCTTTATTGTGCCTGGAAAGCACCTTGCAAAGTCTGAAACACATACCTGTTATTACTGACTTTTTAAAAATCCCATTTCAGCCTTCTTGCCTTTCTATGTAAGAAATGAACAATACATTTATTAGAGAGAAGCTAGATGTATTACATTTACACGGGAGCAAAGAATACATTCCTGAGCAGACTCGAGTAGCTTGCTCGCAATTTGTCATGACATACACGTACAGCAGAATAAGTCAGAATCATCCGTAAGCCGATATCGAAGGGCTGTGGCGCTATCAGACTGACTCGAGTCCAGGTGCTCTCTTCCAGCTCCCTCGACCGCACGTGTAAGACCCCGACGAGGTGCGGAGGGGGGATAGTTCGGTCTATCCCCCATCACGGGGAAGCGGGGTGAGAGAAGGAGGGGAGGGGAGGGGATGGAGACGCCTTCTGCACGGGCACGCCGAGGAACCAGTAACCCACCGTCCCTCTCCCCGCCTCCTCTTGACCGCGGGGAGCAGCGCGGCACAAGGAGGCGGCCGCACTAACTCCCACTGGGCCCCCGAGCCCCACGGCGCCGGGGACGGACCCCGCCCCTCACCCGCACGCCCAGGCGGAACGGGCTGCTCCGCCATCGGGCACGAGGGACGCCCGACGGCGCTAGACTCGCCGGCCCAGCGAGGCCGGCACCGTGGGACTTCGGAGCCCGCGGGCCGCCGTCCGGGCGGGCGCTGCCGCCCGCCTGGCCGAGCGGACAGAGCGTCCGTGCCCGAGGGGCGCTCGGGGGAGCCTGAGCGGCGGCTCGGGACGGGGCTGCCCCGCCCCCGGCCGCTCCAAGCCCCGCGGCCAGCCCGGGACCTGCCGCCCCTGCCCGGTCTCCGTCCCGCTGCGCAGCCGCCGAGCTCCCGCCAGCCCCTCGGCTGCCCTTCGCGGCCCCTCACAGCGGCGCCCGGGCTACAAATGGCGCCCGCCTCGCTCTCCCTGCGAGCGCGGCTCGGCTGCGGGGAGCGCCCGCCTCGGGTCCGCCGAGCCCGGGCCCTGGCAGCCCCCGGCTGCGCCGCCGCCACTTACCGGCTGGGTTCCGCGGGCGGCAGCCGCCGGGCCGGAGAGAGCAGGAGGCGGGATCCCCGAACCCGCGGGCCGGGCTCTGCGTGGCTTCAGTGCGAGTGGCGGGTCCCGCCGCCCCAAACCCTGGAAGCCCGAGCGGAGAGAAACAAAAGGTATTTGCTGACGTGGGCGTTGGACAGAGACGCCCGAGGGCTGGGGACACAATTAAAGGGGCAACGCTCCGCTCGCAGCAGGCACAAGCCCGGCCGCTTCCCGGCAGCGTGGGCTGCGTTTTCCTCCTCTCCCACCCGCAGTCCCACATGCTCCCCAGGAGGCAACGTGGTGCCTTAAGGGCCATTTTACACCGCCCCATGCCCGATTTCTGCGCCTTCCCCTGGCAGGGTAGGAACGTCTAGAGTGCCCATCATGGCACACACTGACACAGGGGAAGAGGCTGTTTGGTTCTTCATTTTCCCCTTCCAGGTGCCGAGAAGAGAGAGACTGTCCTGTGACAGGTTTCAGAGGAACAGCTGTGTTAGTCTGTATTCGCAAAAAGAAAAGGAGGACTTGTGGCACCTTAGAGACTAACCAATTTATTTGAGCATAAGCTTTCGTGAGCATAATAAGCATCCGATGAAGTGAGCTGTAGCTCACGAAAGCTCATGCTCAAATAAATTGGTTACTCTCTAAAGTGCCACAAGTCCTCCTTTTCTTTTTGTCCTGTGACAGTGAAGTGTTTCCTTTTCAACAGGCAATCCACGGGAGCGTTTTAGGACACCAGCGAAAGACTCCTTTGCTGGATGTGAACCGGGAGGGTCCCTTCAACTTTCAAAATGAAATGACATCTCTTGTTCACAGTTGTAGAGACTGGATAGCTCTTCCCCCCCCCCCCCACCCACTATAGACTCTCCCTGCATGGCCTAAGATTGCAGAGTGGGAGACAAGTCAACTTGTCAATTCATTTTCTTTTAAGCTATTTATTAGAATGCTTGGGATACAGATTGTCATTGTTTCACTTTCCTTGAAATGGGAATTGCAAATAATTATATGGATAGAAATGTTTATCGTTTCACTGGGTCTTCCATTATAATTCCTGCTGAAACGTTATACCCCTCAAGAAAAGCACTGTGACAAATTACAGCACTGATTCAGAAAATCCCACAGGGCCACCAGCAAGCCATCTACTTAAATCATACACCTAACATATCTATGGGAAAAGGAACAATCATACTATGTTCTCATTGTTAGCATAATATTTATTTAATTTTTGTTTTGTTCTTTAGCTATAAAAGAACTGGACTACATACAACAATATAAACATAGTACATATACAATTTAACATACAATAAAGACATTCAGTAATGCACCACTGTAGAAAAAAAGTTACAAAAAGCACTTAAAGATTTGTTCCCCATCCCTTAACAAGGGTAAATTGCTGCTGTGGTGGTGGTCAACATAAATTCTTGACTTTGGTTTCATTTATTTTTTACTCATCCACCTTGACACACACAAAAGTCTCAGATACGCTTGGAAACCTGGCAGCCAATGACAAAATGTCATAACCACTTTCCTATTAGTAGCTCATGGAAAATGTCCAGTTATAAATCTCCAAAGTTCTGCGTGTCTAGCATTGCTTCATCTATTGCACACTGAATTTTCTAGATAGTGTGCTGGTATCTTTAGTCAGACACTGAAAAGACCCTAGCTTTAGATAGAACTATTGTCCCTCCATGCTTATGGAACCAGGAGATAAGATGTCAGTTCTCCCACTTCCAAGATAAAAGGTTGCCTTAGTGTTTTGTTTTGTGTTTTAATTTCGCACCTTATTTGCTTTACATGGTGAAACAGAACTTTTTAAAACAAGAGTCAAATTTCTCCTTTATTCTTAACAGTTAATTTAAGAGAAAACAGAATTTAAACAGTGAAAAATATACCAAGAATCAGACTTGCAGAGAAAGTGGAGATAACTGAAGAATTTCAGGCACAAAGCAGATTCAGAATATAAACAAAATATTTTCTTTATAGCAATTAATACTATAATAAGGTTTACTTCTGGTTAAACCAGTTGATCAATTTCAAGATGATGCATTACCCAGTAACCTGCAGAAAATGTTTTCCACTTTCCAAGCCCAATATAGCTGCAAAGGTACAAAGCACCCTTTACTGGGTCAAAAAGTAATTTACAGTATAGGATGCAATGGACCTCTGCTCGAGTATGTTGACCCACCGAGGCTCTCATGTTCACCCAGAGGAATTTACAGGATTGGCACTTGAGTCAGAAGCTTTCAGGTCAAAAAAGTACCAATGTCAGGCTCAAAAGCTGATGGATTAATTATTTCTTGATTTAGTGAACATTCTAGGTTTTGGTTTAATACCTGCTGATAAGACCTTCTGAGCTACAAAAGCTAGGGTATTCTAAATATGTTGATCCACTAGATGTCACATTATCCACCTTACCCAGCAATAAAAGTTTAAAAACATCTTAGCTATTCTAAGGCAAACTTTCTAAAGTTTGCATGTGAACAATACGTAGTGTGTTTTAGGGTTTTTTGTGGTTTTTGGTTCCCCACCACCCCATTAGCTGTTTGTGCTCAAACAAGAAAGTTGATCTGAATATCAGTGACAGTCAGTTACACTAAAATTAAGTTTTAGTGTTCACATGATAAACTTCTGTTTTCAGAGGTATTGAATAACTAAAAGTTCAATGCATACTCAGTCTCACCATTCAAGAGCTTGGAGAACTTTTCAATCTGATTTGGACCTTAATCCTTACATGCATGCATAGCTTTATGCATGTTACTAGTCTCAGTCAATAGAGCCACACATGTGCATAAAGTTAAACGTGTGTGTCAGTCTTTACAGGATCTGAGTCTTAGCAGTTAAGTTACAAGCATGAAAAAAGTATGGTTTCATGTACTTTGATGGTTTTCTTGTAAGTCAAAAAAAATTCTGCATCATGTTTTGCACGTTCTTAGTTTAAGATTTGGAATACTGCCTCTGGGTATTTTGGGATGAATATTTAAGTGGCAACGTACTGTATTTGTTGTTTTTATTCTGTTCCTGTGCATACACCATCTTAAAACAAAAATTTAAGAAGAAACAAAGTGTTAGTCATTGTCAAGAGCCCGTGGTTTTAAAGAGTGCTCGATTTGACCCTGGCAGCAGAGAACACAGTAACTATGGCCCTGATCTTATAACAAGATCCATTTAGGCAGGCTTGTATGCCTGCATGGAGCCACTGGCAGGATTGGAACTATATTTCTCTACTTACCTACATTCATTTAAGAACAAGTTAAATCTTAGGCTCCAATACATGTTTTTAAACACCTCCACCTATTTAGAGTCTGCAACAGTCCAAAAACTAATTGAAACGGACAAAAATTGACTCAGTGAACTGATTATGGCATATTATGTTAACAGTACTTTACACTTTCTAGTAAGGCTTTAAGATAAAAAATAAACATAACATACATTTAAGTTTATAATGTACATCAAAGAGAAGAGGGACACCCGATTTAAATTTTGCTCCAAATTTTAGTTTGCAAAGAAACTTTTACAGTATGACCAACAAATGTTTTCTCACATTAAGAATTCCAATGATAAAAGTTAGTTTTAAACATTTGAACAATGTTCATGGATGATTGAGGTGCTAAAGGAGCACTCAGAGAAAATAAAGCCATTGTGGAGAAACTAAATGAATTCTTTGCATCAGTCTTCACTGCAGAGGATGTGAGGGCATTTCCCACACCTCAGCCATTCTTTTTAGGTGACAAATTTGAGGAACTGTCCCAGATTGAGGTGTCATTAGAAGAGGTTTTGGAACAAATTTATAAATTAAACAGTAATAAGTCACCACGACCAGATGGTATTCACCCAAGAGTTCTGAAGGAATTCAAATATGAAATTGCAGAACTACTACCTGTGGTATGTAACCTATCATTTAAATCAGCTTCTGTACCAGATGATTGGAGGATAGCGAATGTGACACCAATTTAAAAAAAATACTCCAGTGGCTATCCCGGCAATAACAGGATGGTAAGCCTAACTTCAGTACCAGGCAAATAGGTTGAAACTATAGTAAACAGAATTATCAGACACATAGATGAACACAATTTGATGGGGGAAGAGTCAGCGTGGCTTTTGTAAAGGGAAATTATGTCTCACGAGTCTATTAGAATGTGGACAAGGGTGAACCAGTGGATACAGTGTACTTAGATTTTCAGAAAGCCTTTGACAAGGTCCCTCACCAAAGGCTCTTGAGCAAAGTAAGGAGTCATGGGATAAGAGGGAAGGCTCTCTCATCGATCAGTAATGGTTAAAAGACAGGAAACAAAGGGTAGGAATAAATGGCCAGTTTTCAGAATGGAGAGAGGTAAATAGTGGTGTCCTCCAGGGCTCTGTACTGGGACCAGTGCTGTTCAACATATTCATAAATGATTTGGAAAAGGGTAAACTGAGGTGGCAAAATTTGAAGACAATATAAAATTACTCACGACAGTTAAGTCTAAAGCAGACTGCAAAGAATTACAAAGGAACCTCACAAAACTGGGTGATGGGGCAACAAAATGTCAGATGAAATTCAATGTTGATTAATGCACATTGGAAAACATAATCCCAAATATACATATAAAATGAGGGGTCTAAATTAGCTGTTACCACTCAAAAAAATCTTGGAGTCATTGTGGATAGTTCCCTGAAAACAGCCACTCTGTGCAGTGGCAGTCAAAAATAACACGTTAGGAACCATTAGGAAAGGGATAGATAAGATGACAGAAAATACCATTCCTCTATATAAATCCATGGTACACCCACATCTTGAATACTGTATGCGAATCTGGTCTCCCCATCTCAAAAAAAAATCCTACACATACATACATATATATATAGGAAGTGGAAAAGGTACAGAGAAGGGCAACAACAATTATTAGGGGTATGAAACAGCTTCTGTATGAGGAGAGATTAAAAAGACTGGGACTTTTTAGCTTGGAAAAGAGACGACTAAGAGGGGATATCATAGAGCTCTATAAAATCTTGACTCGTGTGGAGAAAGTGAATATGGAAACGTTATTTACTCCTTCACAAGAACTAGGGGTCATCCAACGAAATTAGTAGGCAGCAAGTTTAAAAGAAACAAAAGAACATACTTCTTCACACAATGCATAGACAACTTTGTCACCGGGGATGTTGTGAAGGCCAAAAATATAACTGGGTTCGAAAGACAACTAAGTTCCTGGAGGATTGGTCCATCAATGACTATTAGCCAGGATGGGCAGGGATGCAATGCCATGCTCTGAGTGTCACTAGCCTCTGTCAGAAGCTGGGAGTGGACAATAGGGGATATATCACTCAATGACCGCCTGTTCTGTTCATTCTCTCTGAAGCCCCTGGCACTGTCCACTGTTGGAAGACAGGATATTGGGCTAGATGGAACTTTGGTCTGACCCAGAATGGCCATTCTTATGTTTTTAACAATTCCCGTGCACTGTTTGAAACCCAAACATTGCAGCTCTGAGGCCCCCAAATAAACAAGTTTTCATCATCTGAACTGTGAGAAATGTAAAAAGTAAACTGGGTTTCTTAAATTTTCACTTAATTGAGGGGTTACAAAGCAACCAAATTCATTGATTTTTTTAAAAAAACAAGTGTTTCATCTGGATTTTTTAAAACCTATTATTGTTACAAGTAACATCCAAGAGGTTACTATAACAGAAAGAGATTAGGAGGGAAATTATTTATCTGTTTTTTGCAGTTTATTATGTGCATTTGACAACACAGTCAGTTTCACTGTTTCCCCAGAGGGTTGTGCAGGATCCCCCCACAGCAACAGGGGAAAGAAAAGTTATTTAAAAAAATAAAAATTAAAAATGAAACTATGATTGTAAAACCATAAAAGTAATTAGGAAGAATCAGTAGTACCTGAAAACACTTAAAAAAATGACTAGATTTTAAAGTTGATAGCATCCTTTTAATCTTTCCTTGCCATTAATTTGATTTTTGCTTGCATAGTGCCCATAGCCAGCAGTGGATGGATTGAATGTCAGAATTAAAAATTGAGTGTTGAGCCTTAACTTGGAGTTTCCTCAATTTAGTCAACTGGTGTATGTTTTATAAAGCATACCCCCCTTAACTAGGTTTACTTTCTACACAAGGCCAATAGGTTTCAGACTCCTCCAGGTATCCACTGATGTAGTTAAATCAGCTGTTCAAATAAGGCTCAGCTCGTAAGAGTGTCTTTAATTAACAAAAAAAAAAGGGGCTTGTGTCTCCCCCAGAAACCCACCCAATTTTTTTTGGGAGCGGTTTTGGGGGACCTCCTCCCCCTTCATAAATTTTTTTTCGTGAATGCACAGCTCTTTTTTTAAACACAAAAAAACAACCCCCCCCCCCCCCCCCCCCTTTTTTTCTGGGTATTTCTTGTGTGATGTTTTCAGCGGTGGCCCTTTTCCCCTCACTCCCTCCTTTCCCCCCCCCCCCCCCCCCCCTTCTCCCTCTCCTTCCCTTCTTTCTAATTTCATTTTTTTTCCACTTTCTTTTTCTCCCCTCTCTTCCCCCCCTCCCCCCCCCCCCCTACTCTCTCTTTCGCGGGGGGGTGGGGGTGGGGGGGTGTTGGGTTGGGGGTATTGTCTTGTTTTTTTTTTTGAGGGGTTGGTGGGGTTTTTGTGTTGGTGTGGGGGTGGAGTTTGGTGGGGGGGGGGTGGTGGGGTGGGGGGGGGGGATTTGTTGTTTGGGTTTTGTTTTTTTTTTTTTGGGGGTGGGGGGGGGGGGGTGGGGTTTTTTTTTTTTTTTTCTGTTAATTAGGTAGACTGAATTAAAGGACTCCAGCTATAAAGTTACTGTTCAAATTTCAGACAAATGAAATGACTCAGATTTGGAAGATTAATATTTACAAGTTCAATGCACCATTAATATCATTGCAGCATGTATTTCTTTGTGAAAAACAGTGCAATTATGTGCAAACAAATAAATTAAGTATACTCCTAAACAGTGTAAATTATGCAGAGCTAAGAATTTAAGATATGTAGTTTTCGTGGCCTTTTAAAAACTTTGAGAGAAAAGATCACATTAGAAACAAGTCTAAGGACATTTTCTTTGATTCTTCATTCAGCACCATATGAATATTCTTTTAGAACAGCAGTGTCACTTTCTCAAAGCTTGTAAAGGCTGGATTTACATGGAAGATTTCAGGGAAACAGCATGGAACTGGGTGGGAAGCACAGCAAACACAGATCTACATAAACATCTGTCACAAGAAACTGAATAAAGCGTAACCTTTTCTACTAAACACTGAGGCTGAATTAAGGACCCACTGAAAAACAAAGTGGCACGCTATGACAGATCAACAGAAATTGCAATTTTGCTGGTCACTTTCAAACTGCAACGTGATTGGAATCTCTCTCCCACCCCACCCCTTGCCCCAACGTTACACAAAACTTAACACAGTTCCATTCTCTATGCACAAGACACACAAGAAAAATTTCTAAAACCAAATGAAGCAGGCTGAATTCAAACAGCTGAAGGCCACTGCAGTGTTTCCCACAGCTCTTAAATCCACTGCATACATGCCTTCACAAGAGCACCGATTTTCCTCTTCTGAAGGTCTTCACAATTTCAGAGTTCACTAGTACATGCCTCAACATAGTTCTACAGTGTTTCTCTGATAAGCTAAATCACCAGAAAGATGCATTGTAACACATTATCCAGCACCATATCCAATGAATATTCCAAGTCTATTGGCCTCTAATATTTACACTGAAGTGGCACCTCTCTGCCAGAATGACCAGAGAGATCAGGATGCCATGCTGATGAAAAGTTAGGATGACTATTTACATTCCTACCACACCTTCATTATGCAACTCAGTCCTCAATTGTCAAAAGTATGAGGACTCCTTTTAAAATGTTCTTACACAAAGTCCTTTGCTCAACTGATAAGCAGATAGAGAATACCATCGTGAACTTGGGTTGGCTGAGCAGTAACAGAGAAGTCATCGAAAAGACCACCCTCATGGGATTAAATATAGGATTTTCAAAAGCGCTTATGTGATTTAGAAGCCCACTCTATAGGCCAGATTTTCAAAAGTGTTTAGCGCCCAAAATTGAAATTGGATGTTCAGGAGAGCTCAGTTCCCATTTAGGCTCCTAAATGAAGTGGCCAGGGCTCTTTTGTAGATCCAGACACTCATTCAGGTGCCTAAATGGGAGTTGCTGGTGGTTGCTTAGTTCTTTTGAAAATCTGGCCCTCATACTAATTTGCTATGCTGATGAAACTATGACATTATCGTTCAGACACCAACTCCAATTTACAAACAATATGAAATAAGGACTATTGGAGAGGTTTTGTAACAAACTAAAAAACAAATACAAATAGCTTATTTTTAAAGGTGCGTTGCTCCTCTCAATTTAAGTTACAGAAAATAAATCCAGCAAGAAATGCAATATCTTCCAGAAAGATAGCACTTAAAGTAAGACTTCAAGTTTTGGGGAGACATTTCAAACAACTCTATTTACCTCTGATTTTTTTGGGGGGTTGGGGTTTTTTTTGCTACTTTGCTAGTAATTAAAGATAAACAGAGGCTTGTTTCATTTTTATTCATCCTATTTGATCTTGCAATGAAGTCATAATGCTGCATTTGTGATATCAGAATCACTTCTGTACAAGTAGATTGTGATATCACACCAGGATTATTGTCTTACTACAGGATGAAGCAAATAAAGAAGCTGAACTGTGGGGCAGAATGTTCTTATCCAATATGTAAAATAATTGCATGAGGTATACAGAAAATGACTGATTAAATCAGCTGCTTTTTATATAAAAATGTTCCATTTTATGTTTGCTCAGTGTAAAGTCTTCTGTAAAATATAAGAAAGGAAAACTGTCTTTTTAAGTGAGACGATCTTCTTGTGTCAGTGATGTCTGTCTGCAATCTTCTGTTCTAGCACTTGATCCAGAAAGTGAGGCCCAAGTACAATGCTTTTCATTAACATTTACAAAGTTAGAAAGTACTATCTACATACAGTAAGCACCTTCACTTCACAGAATCCTTCAGTGTTGTATCTTCTTTAGTCTTAAGTTTAGCAGTAGCTTACCAAGAGCTCTTTACAGTTTCTCAGCTAATTTCATAGTTTACAGCAATTTGGTATTGGACAGGTAAATTAAGTAAAGTAATCTCACCTCCTTCAAAAACCAACTTGTATCTATTCAACAAGGAAAATGTAGGGTCCAAGTTGGAATTTAAACAAGAGACAGTACCTGGATGAATTCATAAGACAATGAAAGGGTACAAACCATCATAGGAATCACCAAAGACTATTTTTTGACTACATAAGAAGAAAAAACTCATTAGAAAAAGGGAAGTTTGCATACAGGGAGTCTCTAATTTTACAAGGGGTCTCACCTGACTTCTTGAAAAATACTTTGCAGGGATGGTGTTATATACGTAGCCCAGATTTTTCTTTGGAATTGTACTTCAGCTAGATCAGCAGTAAATCTGACTATTGAATCTATTAAAGAAACCACTTTTCTAGATTGCTAGGTTATAACTTCTACTTTAAATGGTTGAAAAATACTTAGTCCTGGCTTGAGTGCAGGGGACTGGACTAGATGACCTCTCGAGGTCCCTTCCAGTTCTATGATTTTATGAAAAGAGGTGGGTAGTGCACTTACTCTTGCTTCAGTGACCAGTGCACTTTGGACACTATTTTACTAGATCATAGAATAAGTATTCTGTGTAGTTCTCAGGCCTGGACTATTGTCTAATGGGCATTAAAGATAGACCAGAAAAATCATAGCCCAAGCTCTGTTGTTCTCCAGGGATGGAAATGTAGTGAAAACTGCCCAAAAATAGAAGCTTGCTCTCTAAGTACATATATGAACAAACACGTGTGAAGATTCTCTACTGAATATGCTTCCCTCTGTAGCATATTTATTATCCTGGTAATTTACCATGGTTTCCAGGTCAAATCCTATTCTAAACTTTTAAAATTAAACAGTTAGGATTTACAGTTTCAGATAGGACTTTCCTAGCATAAGAGGGACGAGAATGTAAAATAGTTTAGAGAAGTCCAAGGCTAAGGATGAAAACTACATTTATTTTCTTCACATCTCTTCCTAGAAAGATGATGGTGCCCCCTTGAGACCAGGATTGAGGGACTATGGTAGCATTGTGGGAGGAAACTCAGTATCAAACGATCATGATGATCCTTCCCTCATAGCCAGGGTACAGAAGCACAACAGGTGATTGCAAGGAGACAGCCTCTGCTCACCCAGGACAGGAAATTCCCTCAGAATTCTAGTGCACAGCACTGAAAAGTTAAAAAATATTTCAAAATTCCAAAATCCAGTTCTTCCCACCAGTTCTATCAAAACGGGAATTTAGTAATAAAAAACACACAGTTCCACAAAACTGGTTAAATATGCAGTTTTCTGCTGTAGAATGACCAATCACAGGGGAGACACTTTAAATCTGCCCAATCTCCTTTTGTTACTACATAAGTGCCTCTCGGTCTGATAAGCTTCTATGGATCTCCTGCTTATCATCAGCATCATCGTCATCAGCTGGATCATTTTCCTCACCAGATTCGACATATATAGGCCAATCATTGTCTGTATCACCCTTTTCTTGACCTTCTGATGAAGGTTCCATCAGACTGAGGTTAATGGGCATTGAATCCTCATGCGTAGTCGTTACACAAGTGCAGCTGTCACACAAGCCAAAGCGACGTAATCCCTGCGATAGGCTACTTGTGAACGTTCTTCTGCAACCCTTGCAGATAATTGGCTTGTTTGATCGGTGCACCTGATCAATGAGAAATAAAACATCATTGTAAAAGTGGTTGGCCTATCTTGTTGCTTTAGCTCTTTTTGGGGATGCTGCTTCCATATATTCCAAGGCGAAACACACAGAAGCATCTACCAAACTTGCAGGGCAAATGATCACATCACCTTTCTAAGAACAAAGGTTTTGGACTAATATAGTTGTATTGCATTAAATGTCAATTTCTTAGTCTTAACCATTGCCCAGTTAACCTTATCTATTGAGAGCAGAATCATTCTATCTTCTACTGTACTTTAGAACAGCCTTAAATCAAAATGTGATACATGTACATTCTTTACACACATCAGCAGAATGACTGAGAAACACTGAACACAGGAGCTTACTATTTATTTTTAAATCTGCTTCTGAGAGATATCTGCTTTCATCAAACTTACACTCAGAGCATGACTCCGAAGGTGCTCCTGCCGGGTGAAGCGTTTGCCGCATGTCTCACAAGGGTAGGGTCTCTCGCCTGTATGAGAGCGAATGTGCCGTTTTAGTATTCCCTTCTGCTTAGCGGTGTAGGGACAGAACGGGCATTTGTGGAGCTTGATTGGCACAACTAACACATCACCTTTTAAAAAGAAAACAATATATTTTAGACAATTCAAAAAAGTTAGCTAGGTTGCTCGTTACAATCCTTGCCTGCAAACTAGGGCCAGAATACTCACATATTTTTCCTCTTTGTATTTGACTCACTTGGATGATTTTTTTTTTTTTTTTTTAAATTTTATGGTCTCTTTTTTAAAAGCTTATGGAGCTGCAGGTTCTTAGAACCCTTGAAAATCAGGCAATTTTAAAATAAATTTAATAAATTGGCAAAATTGGTTTCTGGTGTGATGTGTTTGCTAGACTATGCTCAATATGTGAGCCATTGAAAGCTTCTTGTTATTTGCAAATTCATTTTTGAAAAAGGTGTCATATTAATAGCACTGGAAACTAAAGTCTTTAATTTAGCCACAGAAAAGTGCACAGGCACTAGCAAGTTTTCCAATATGCTATAATAATGGGCGTCAATTTAGACACAGAGGGACCATCCCTAGAAGTAATTTATGCCTCTGTCCCCATTCAAGTCTTAGTAGGCTTTCTATTGGGACTAATAGGAGTCTTTCATCTCTAATACATTTGCTGTTTTTTGTTTTCCAGTAAAATATGCCTAGATTCAGATATACACGTACAATTAAACACTGATAAAATTCATGTGAGAAGATGCAAAAATTGAGAACTGTATTTGAAGATTACATTTTTAAATAAAAATTGGCATTACTGAGCTTCTTGATGGTAGCCAATACATGACTGACTAGAGATGTCCTTTGTAACATGACTAGGATTGGGTGGTGATGTTAAGAGACTAAAAAGTGTGCGTTGCTTTCCTGAATCAGCGTGTAAAATACTTTAAACACATCCTTAACGTTAAAGCGCCCCCCTGAAGTCAGGCACCCCACTGAAGTCAATGGGACTTAAGTGCATGATTAAAGTTATGCATACACATAGTCCTTTGCTGTATTGACACCTCAAAGATTAAATAAAATCTTTTTCAATAAATATCAAAATCAGTAAGACCCTAATAATTCATGTGTAGACATATACATATGTACATATACACACAAGCATACACACACACTTTCAAAAACAAGATATCTGAGACTCATTCCGCAACTTTAGCTACCAGGACCTGCGATCAGCGTTCTGTCTCTGCCTTGAAAGAGCTGAATACATCACAAGAACCTAAACCAGCATAAAGAATAGTTTCCTGTTCTACTTTAGGTGCTAGTGACGTCAATTTTTTTTTTAAAAGAAACATAGAACCCTGAATGCATATTTAAAATACATATTTCTAGTGTTAAAGTTTCTAGCAAATTCTGTTAATTATTGATGATTTATCAGGTTTTATGTGTATTTCCACTTTTAATGCTAGATTAACAATTTGAAGAGTTTTACTTGAAAAAAACAGCAATGGAACATATCCTATTAGATGTCTGCTATGCTACAGCATTTTGGAAGCAGTAGATGTTATTGTAACAGAATCCTGCCATTAAATATTTCAATTATGCTGACTGACTTAATGATTTTATCAGATGAACACTGATTCACTACACAGTGAGAGTTCCTTACGGAACCGCTGAACTCTAAGTGGTTTTAAGAACACACTTGTGTGCTTGAGCTAGTGATGGCATAAACGTAGCTTTACTTTCTACAGCAATACACTATCTTTGTGAATAACTCCTATTGCCTGCATCATTATTTTTTAACTTGGCGAATTATGAATGGCTATGAGAACTGAGGTGTACTTCAGACAAGGAGTAGAGCCCACCTTAAAGGACAGTTTTTGAAAGGTAAACAGAGACAGTATTCGGGAAAAGAAATAGTCCTCCAACTTTATTACAAGCAGATGAAGACCCAAAATCGTTAATGGCCATCTTAGGAAATGTGTATATTTACATGAGCTTTTTCTCCTTCAGGTCCCTGAAGGTGCTGTCACATAGCCTTCCTGCTGGTGCTGAGAAATCCCAGCATGCATTTGGGCTAGTGAAAGCAGCAGCCCTGATGATCAGCAATGGAGAAGGAAGTCTGTCTCTAGAGGGAAAATATGCAGTGTAGTTAATATTCTGCCTCTCAGTGTTTATAGCATAACCAACATGGGACTATCAGTTTGTCTTTCTGAATCTATAACAACTCTTGTTCATAATGTGACGTTGCATTCCATATGTTTTATGGAAATATGTTTATAAGTGTGAATATGATGCAACTGGAATATGCTTTATGCAAAAGGTCTCTTGTAAGGTATCATAACAGATGTTTTAACTTATTGAATATATTCCTCCTATTTGTATGCCATGTATCATCCTTGTATCTGAAGCTAGAAATATGAAGTATAACTCTGAGGTCCTATTGTAATTATGCAAAGTGTGGGCCATTAACAGTGGTTTAGAATTTTGATGGCTCCCATTGACTAGGACAATTGGTTGTAAATGGCTGTTTACTTGAGAAATCCCTGTGTATTGTGTGCCAGCCCATGGGTAATGAAGAATGAGGTCACATAGGATATGTGACCAGGTCACAGGATAGTGGAATCCATCTTAAATCTGGTACTTTTCCATTTAGAAGGAGGGGTGGGGACCCAGAGAGACAAAAGATTCCCGCCTTCTGCCAAAACTATAAAAGGGAGTGGAGCAGGACAAAGAGGCTTCCAGTTATGAGAAAACCCCTAGTTTCCACCTAAGATGCCTGCTGGAACGAACAAGGACGGTACTAGGGGAAAGGATTGGGCCCAGACTGGGAAGGAGTCTAGTCTGCAAAAGAAGCTTATTGGAACATCTCTGAGGGTGAGATATTACCTGTAATCAGTTTCTTAATGTATTAGGCTTAGACTTGTGTGTTTTGTTTTATTCTGCTTGGTGACTTACTTTGTTCTGTCTGTTATTACCTGGAACCACTTAAATCCTACTTTTTATACTTAATAAAATCATTTTTGTTTATTGATAAACCCAGAGTAAGTGATTAATACCTGGGGGAGCAAACAGCTGTGCATCTCTCTCTATCAGTGTTATAGAGGGTGTATAAGCTTTATACAGAGTAAATGGATTTATTTGGGGTTTGGATCCCGTTGGGAACTGGGTGTGTGGGTGCTGGAGATAGGTGACCTGCTGAGCAGTTTTTGGTTAAAGTCTGCAGCTTTGTGGACCAGACCTGGGTCTGTGTTGCAGCAGGCTAGCATGTCTGGCTCAACAAGGCAGGGTTCTGGAGTCCCAAGCTGGCAGGGAAAACAAGCTCAGAGGCAAATCTCAGCACATCAGGTGAAAGTCCCAAGGGGGTCTCTGTGATCGAACCTGTCACACACAATACTAACAGTTATAAGAGGTAAAGCTTTTCTTACATTCATCTTTCATTCCAGTGTTGTCCCAAATTATGCTACCACCATTAGACTCCAAAATACCTATTTCAAATACAAGTTTTTAGATCAGAAATACTTACCTTCCAAATGCTGCACTGAACAAAATGAGTGCAGCTTTCTTTTGAAGTCCAGAACAATAGTTTATTTTGCTGTTGCATAAAATTCAGCAATATTTTCCTGTGAAGTATACTGAACAAGAATGAGAATAACCGTTCAATTAACATAGAAAGTGATACAAATAAACAGATTCCTCATCTGTTATACAGACATTATCTACAGCCTCGAGAATTCTCATCTCACCTGTATCCTCACCATACCAGTCGCTGTGAATGTCCATCATGGAACTCATGGCCACCCCTGCATCTTCTGGCCTACCCTCAAAGCCCCGAACAAAGTGATGAACTACATCATCTTTTCTTTGAGCTGCACTGTTGCGTAGCAGGGCCTCCAGGAACTGTTTCATATGGTAGTTATTACAGGCCAAGTCCATTGCCTGGCCACTGTGCAGCCCCTCTTCCATCTGCTCAAGAGATAATGGAGTTGGATACTGCTGTAGTCGTTCACCCACTTCTACCTCCACTTCATCAGAGTCAAATTCTACTTTTGGTTCTACTACCCCTTTGGGCAGAGAAGAATTAATGTCATCTGGAGAATCACTGCTTACAGGGTCTCTCACCACAAGTTCCATTGGGTGGCAGCTGCTACATTCACCACAGGGAGGATCTCTCTGACAATCAGAAATCCTTTCCTTTTCTTGCAGAGAAGAGATGGAGGCAGAGCACTGGCTCTTTGTACCATAAGAAGTGCCCTCCCTGGCAGAACTGGAGCTTCCACTATCAGCCTGATAGAAAGCAGCTTCTCTCTCTATTTTTCTGCAAATATCTAGCGATGACCTGATGTAAGTTTTGCAAAAATTGACCACATCAGTCATCTGCAAGTAGCTAGCTGCTGACATGACTTCAATAACATTTTCCCCACAAAGATCCAGCTTCCCTGAATAAAGGAAATCTAGGATGATGGAGAAGGCCTCTGAAGTAACAATGTCCAAAGAAGCAGTGCTGTGTCGCCCACTGTCTTGAATGTAATGAATCAATAAGGCTCTGAAGTAGCCACTATTAGCAAACAGAATGTTCTTGTGAGCTTTGAAGATCCTGCCTTCCACAATAATACTGCAGTCACAAAAAAAGTCCCTCTTTCTTTGCTCATTGAGCTCTCCCAAGAGCTTCGTGTAATATGACTGCATCTCCATTTCTCCTATTGCTGCTTCTGATCACTGACAAGAAGAAACAAAGAAAGAACATTAGAGCAGAAATTCTTCTCCCTTTGTGGAATCAATCAAAACCGATCACTGTTTTCCCTCCCTCCAAAAAAACAAACAAACCCCTCCCTCCCTCCCCCCAACAACCTGGCCTATAGTCATATTCAGACTCTGGAAAACTGGAATATTTTTTTTTTAAACCTGAAGTCACTGTAACATTCCAACTACAACAGTCCACGTCCAATTATTATTAGCATTACCACAGCACCAAGGAGCCCTACTCATGGGCCAGAAGCCCATTGTACTAGGCACTGTGCAAACACAGAACAAAAAGATGGTCCCTGCTCTAAAGAGCTTACAATTTAAATAGAGTAGCCTCTGTCATTTCTTAGTGGACAACACACTAGCTTGACAAATTTAGTATCTTATATCCCAACTCAGCCAACCTATCACAGATACATGGCAAAGACGCAGTGACTGCGTACAGTGCTCCAAAGCGTCAGAACAATTCTAAACTTCAGATAGTCTGAGATGGTATCTGCTTTTACAAAAAGAAAAGGAGTACTTGTGGCACCTTAGAGACTAACCAATTTATTTGAGCATGAGCTTTCGTGAGCTACAGCTCACTTCATCAGATGTATACTGTGGAAACTGCAGCAGACTTTATATACACACAGAGAATATGAAACAATACCTCCTCCCACCCCACTGTCCTGCTGGTAATAGCTTATCTAAAGTGATACACAAGTTTGTGTGTGTATGGGGGTGGGGGGGATGTGAGAAAACCTGGATCTATGCAGGAAATAGCCCGACTTGATTATGTAAAGAGTTGTCACTTTGGATGGGCTAGCACCAGCAGGAGAGTGAATTTGTGTGGGGGGGGTGGAGGGTGAGAAAACCTGGATTTGTGCTGGAAATGGCCCACCTGTTGATCACTTTAGATAAGCTATTACCAGCAGGACAGTGGGGTGGGAGGAGGTATTGTTTCATATTCTGTGTGTGTATATAAAGTCTGCTGCAGTTTCCACGGTATACATCTGATGAAGTGAGATGTAGCTCACGAAAGCTCATGCTCAAATAAATTGGTTAGTCTCTAAGGTGCCACAAGTACTCCTTTTCTTTTTGCGAATACAGACTAACACGGCTGTTCCTCTGAAACCTATCTGCTTTTAATAACTCTTTCAGTAAAACTGATTCCAGGGTAAAATTACAACCTGCCCTGAGAACAGTTTTTGAAGATACCGTTACCAAAGTTCACCTTTTTTCTTATGTACTAGTTGTCTCATTGGATGAGATTACATGCACCTCCACTGACATTAATCCCTTACTCTTTATAAAGAAGCAGACACTATTATTTTTCTGATATTTGCAGTCAAGGGTGAAACTGGCATAGGCTGGTTGCTCAGGGGCACCTCTGGTGGAAAAGCTGATGAAAACTGGAAAGGCTTAAACATAACAATACATTTTACTTATTTAAGGCTTTCCGCTTGAGAATTTCAGAGAACTTTACAAGCACGAAGCCTCCCAGCGCTCCTGCGGGACTGGAAGCGCTATCCCCATTTTACAGGTAGGGCAATTGAAGAACTGAGCTCAAGCATCCCACAGAAAGTCTGTGGCAGCGCTAGGAACCCAGCTCATTTTACTCCCGCTCCTGCCTTTCGGCCAGGCGCTCTTGTGGCAGTCTACGGGCATGATTTGGCACTGTAGGTTTTATGCTCTTTGGAGCCGAAGTCCCTCCCTTGGGTTAAAGCGGGAAATGCCCAGTCGGCTGGAGAGGCGCCAGCCCTGCCCACCCCAGCAGAACAAACACTCATGGGGCATCTCAGCAGGGCCGAGTCTCTGCAGCCCCCCCCCCTTTCCCCCCCCGAGGGATGGGGAGCCCACCAGACTCCGCAGGGTCGGTGCTGTCTCGGGTCCGTCGCCTCCCCGCCCCTCAGGATACCGCCCCCCTCACGGGACTGAGCCCTGCCGCCCCTCCCTGCGGGGGAAGGAGTGGGGCTGGGGCCCCCGGGCAGCCCCTCCCCCAGCTCTGTGCAGTGTGTGTGTGGGGGGGGGGATTCATGCCGCTCAGCCCCCCGCCCCCAGCCACACCCCGAACCCGGGCTCGGCAGAAGCTTCGCCCCGCACCGACCTGCCCCGTCCCGTCCCCTCCTGAATGAAAATGGGGAACCTCCCGTCTCCCCCTCACCTTTACCCGGCCCCTCGCGCAGCGCTACCGAACCTGACGCACGCGCCGGGCCGGGCCCGCCTCCTCGCCGCACCTCCCGAGCCCAACCCACCAACCCCGCGGCGGGACAGGCCAAGAGGCGGTGCCTCCTTCCCAGCAAGGTAGGGTGCGCCCTTCCCGGCCACCCGCCTGCAGCCCCGCGGAGCATGCGCCCTTCGCCTCGGCCGCCTCCGGGCTTGGAGTGCCCTGCTGTGATTGTCGTCGCGGGGCAGGAGCCAGGGAAAGGGACTACACATCCCAGCATGCACCGCGAGGGCCCGATCTCCTGGGCTGCTGGCTGGGGCTCCCGGGCGGTGCTGGGGGGGTTCGCTGCAGAGGGATAGCTCAGTGGTTTGAGCATTGGCCTCCTAAACCCAGGATTGTGAGTTCAATCCTGGAGGGGGCCATTTAGGGATCGGGGGTGAAAATTGGGGATTGGTCCTGCTTTGAGCAGGGGGTTGGACTGGGTGACCTCCTGCGGTCCCTTCTGACCCTGATATTCTATGATTTCATGGAGGTGTTGCCCGAGGTGGGCTGGGCTCTCAATGTGGGATGGGGTGAAGGCATTTAAGATCAGTATTGTTTGGGGAGTGGCCTCAGCCTCCCTGGTGTGACTACCACCTCTCCTTTCATCCCCAGGGAGCCTAAAGCATGTCACACATTTAATAGGATACGCACAGACTGTGCGTCTCGATGCACCAAACCTGGCTAAATGTCACCGGCAAGAAAATGAAAGGAATAGTCGTATACACCGGAGTCGGGGATTTGAGAGTCCCGCTTCACGAAGCCACCAAATGTCAGTTGTTCCCTACACATACATCAATCCCCGTATAGGGCTGCCCCCTTTCTAATCGCACAAAACTGAATACCCTTGCCCCTACCCTTCTCTGAGGGCTCGCCCCCACTCCCTCCATTTCCCCCGCCTCTTGCTTGCTCTCTCAGGTTCCACCTTGGGGTGCAGGCTCCTGGGTGGGGCCAGAAATGAGGGGTTCAGGCAGAGGTGGAAGTAGGCCGGTACAGCTACCGGCCTGTACTCAGCCAATGTTAAAGTGCTGCCGTGGCAGAGCTTTAACATCACTGCCCCTTTGCTCCCCCCATCCCCCATCTGTGGTGCAGCAGACCAAAGGCAGGCTCCCTGCCTGCCCTGACTCCTCGCTGCTCCTGGAAGCAGCCAGCATGTCCGGCCCCTAGGTGGAAGCGCGGCCAGGCAGCTTTGCGCAGTGTGTGCTGCCCACATCCTCAGGCACCGGTCCCACACTCCCACTGGCTGCGGTTCCCGGCCAGTGGGAGCTGTGGAGCCCGCACTCGGGGCGGGGGCAGCACACGGAGCTTTCCTGATCACACCTGTGCCTAGGGACTGCAGGGACATGCCGGCCACTTCCGGGAGCTGCGTGGAGCCCGGGCAGGCAAGGAGCCTGCCTTAGCCCCACTGCACCGCTGACCGGACTTTGAACAGCCCAGTCAGTGGTGCTGACTGGAGCCGCCAGAGTCCCTTTTTGACCGGGCGTTCCAGTCAAAAACCAGACGGCTGCCAACCCTACCCCCATATATAATCACTTTTCTCCTCACCATCAGTTTTCATACTTCCCTCAGTATATTATTTCTTTTTGTAGTCCACTCATTTTTTCTCCCTTTCGAATCTATACCTTCCTACAGTATTAGTCCTTTCCAAATTCCTCTTCCTACTCCCCACCCACTCCAGTAATCTTCCTTGCCAGACCTGATTTCTTGCTCCTGCCCCAGTCCCTTATTTCTCACACTTACCCCTCACATTTCCTCTCCACAGTCCCTCAGCTCTCTCTCTCTCTCCACCTTGCCTTTGCTATTTTACTTTATTTCCACCGTCCTGCATCTTCATCTACCCTTCAATTAATAACCAAGAGTTTTCTACACTCCTCATTTCCACTAAGCAGATAAATGAATTTATGAATTTGCTATAAGATGAATTGTGAACTCCCTTCACTGATAAGCAATGCGTAAACAGCATACCCTTCACAGAATACACACTGATCACTCAGCGATGAAGAAAATCTGTAGAATTCAGGGACTGTGCAAGAAAGAGGAGGAGAGCTAAGCCGGAGGGAAAAGGAAAATGAAGCAGGGTACAGATGCTCTTACATGGCATGTTTCCCAGTAAGAAATCACATCACTGTTTGCCACATAAGTTAATGTTGCTCAAATTCTCCTACGCGGCCTCCAAATCCCAGTGGAGAGAGCAGAAGCATGAAGCAGCAGGCAGGGAACCAATAGCAGAGCAGCAAGTGACCTAGCTCTGCTGCCATTTTCAGAGGGCAGTACAGGGAGACAAGGACATGCACATATTGTCTGAGATCACCAGGATTTCAGCAGTTATCTTCAAAAAGAACAGGCGTACTTGTGGCACCTTAGCGACTAACAAATTTATTTGAGCATTAAGCTTTAATGGGCTACAGCCCACTTCATCGGATGCATAGAATGGAATATATAGTAGGAAGATATATATATATACATACAGGGAACATGAAAAGGTGGTGTAAGAGGCTAATTAATTAAGATGAGCTATTATCAGCAGGAGAAAAAAAAACTATTGTAGTGATAATCAAGATGGCCCATTTAGACAGTTGACAAGAAGGTGCAAGGATACTTAACAAAGGAAAATAGATTCAATATGGGTAATGACCCAGCCACTCCCAGTCTCTATTCAAACCCAAGTTAATGGTATCTAGTTTGCATATTAATTCAAGCTCAGCAGTTTCTCCTTGTAGTCTGTTTTTGAAGCTTTTCTGTTGCAAAATTGCCAGATTTTTTTTTAATAGCTCATCTTAATTAATTAGCCTCTTACTCCACCTTTTCATGTTCCCTGTATGCATGTATATATATCTTCTTACTATATGTTCCATGCTATGCATCCGATGAAGTCTTTCCAAATACAGCATCAGCATTCTTAACCCTTTCATTATTTACTTCTGCTACTTTTCAAATGTTTCCTTTACTACCAATCTGTTTGTTTATTTAGAAATACAATGGATTTTAATACAAAAAGTTTTATGAAAATAGAGCTTATAAAGGAGAAAGCTTTACTATTCAGTGATCCTATCTTGGGAAGTGTAAAATGTGCCATATCTTCATGTAGGCCAGATGAAAATTCATAAAATTGGTGGCAAAATAGTTGATCAGTGGAGCCAACTGAATCCACACAGCATAAATCTTAGGTCTATAATATTACAACAAAGCTGGATCCCTATTAATCTTCACGCTAGGCTAGGTACAGAATACCCATTGGCTAAAAAGAAGTCTACCACCTCTCCTGGCCAGCCACATTGCTGCAAAATGCAGCTGACTAGAATTGTGGTCTCTAAAGTTGTTAGACACCAGATTTTCAGAGTTTGAGAGCCTCCTTGGTTTTACTGTGCTGTTAATCTGAATTCCATAAAAGCACACTCACTGCCGTCAAACTAGTCGGCCTTTCTTCTGACCCAGGAGGCATTGTTTCTGAGTGTTCATTCAGGACAAATAGACTAGTTGTTTAAGAACTTCACATGGAAAATTCTTCTCTGAAAAATCATACAATTATCCTGGAAGTCTGATAATGGGATGGGAGATTGTTGTCCTAAAAGGTTTTGGAGCACTCACGAACCAATCTGAGGGCAAATGTTAATTTGTTTATATATGGAATAGCTTCTGTCATACTTAAATTCTTCCCTACTTACAGAATCATTCTAAGTCTAATACAAAATGTTTGGATTCTCTCCTCCCTCTTCTATATTAACTATCTTGCTAGTACCCACTGTGTCTATTCTAATGCTGATGTGCTCTGCCTGTCTCTAGTCTAGATGATTATTCTTCCTGGTGCTCTATGTGTTAGTTATTAACAGTCATTCCCTCCCAGCGTGGCAGAGTGGTACATTAACTAGCGTGGTTTAGAACTATAATGGAAAAGAACATCGAAACTTTCTCTCTTGTGAAAATCTACATGCTGCCCCCTGCAATTAGAATGAATCAGTCTGTGACCTTCTATGACCTCTTTATAACCTTTCAACTCCACCTGCTAATAAGTCATTATTGACTTAAATTTATTTTAATATTCCCAACAATATATGATCACGTATAACTGCTTTGGAAACTGTTATCATCTCCAAATTCTAAATATTTAGTAGTGTTTTGTAATATAAAATAAACATATTTTCTAACACTACAATATAAAAGCTTTAATTCCATCAAGGAGCTTTGATTCAAATATTTTTGTTATTTATTATGTCTTTAGGAATCCTCAGTGAAACTACAGCCTCTACACGCTTTACATTCCATTCTATTAAAAATACATTAATTGGTATATTTTGGTTTTGCAGTAAGAGTTACTAAGAGAGTCTGGAGGAAAAATAATAAGTGAGTTTATTAAGAGGGATACATATATTTGTACAAGCAGGCAGGAGATAATTTTACTTGTTTCTAATAGCATAGAAACTCTACCCTTCCTCCCCCCAAGGCTCTCCACCAGGCTATCACATTACTAACATTACACCAAAAAGAAAAGGAGTACTTGTGGCACCTTAGAGACTAACCAATTTATTTGAGCATGAGCTTTCGTGAGCTATAGCTCACTTCATCAGATTACACCATCAGATTAAACTTTCACTGGCTGATTATACCTCTAGAGAACACAATTTCTATCAGTTTAACACTCTTGGTGTTGGTGCAATCACTGAAATATATTTTAACATTTCAAAAGCACCCCTGGATTTATGAAAGATGGGTTCACTCATGCAGTAGGAAACCTTTTTACACTTTACTAATTACAAGCCCAAGCAACATATACTATAGATCCATGCTAGCAACAAAGGTGAAAGATACTTGCACATGCTTTGAAGAAAGTATGCATCATTTTATTTTGATCTTGTCAGATCTCACAAGCAAAAGTATGTTTAGGGCTGGTCAGTATTTGGATGGGAGATTTACAAGGAAAACCCAGCCATGGTGTTCCAAGAAACAGACATAGTGTTTCAGTAAGTGGCACTCTTTGCACTTAAGGTTCAGTTCTACATTCTTTGTGCAACCTTAACTCCAGAGAG